ATTGGGAGCCTATCATCCCCCAGCTGCTCCATCTCTGCCTTCCTGCAGGCCTCATCCCCACCTGGACCACAGCCACAGACCCCTGCTGGGCTCCTTTGCACTGTTCCAGATTGGTTCTGAACACACCCAATGCACAGTGGTGAACTCCATCAAAAGCTTTGTGGAATGGGGTGAAATACAAACAAAAATGCAGCCAAAGAAACAACCCCTGGTCTCCCTGCTGGATGTTCTGGAAATTGTTGGATGGAGTCTTAATTCCTAAGAAGTCTGACCTCGGTCCCCATCTCAGTCCCTATACTGCAGTGCCTGAAGAGCAGCTGCCTCTGCCTCGCACCTGCAGCCCTGCCTCTAGATGGCTTTTCTTTGCTCACATCATGCCCTGTCGGACACTGCCTCCCCACCACTCAGGCCTGGCAGGTGGCTACCCTGAGGTCATTGGCCTTTGTGCTCACCTGCCTCCTTACTTCTGCCCTGCAACAGTCACCAGAGCACACACAGATGCCAGGGGACACAGCCAGGGAAACCATAAGGGCAGGTGTGAAAACGTGGCACAACAGACAGCAGGTGTCGCAGACTCACTGAGACCTCACAGGGGGCCAGGGCTGCTTCTTTCCCTAGGACTTGGCAGAGAACATGCCACATGGCAGGTGCAGCATGAATGTGGGTGGCAAGACTGACACAGGCATGTTGGTCATGCCTGTTAGGTGGTTCCCCAGTGCAGGCCCCAGATCAGCTCAGCTGTAAAGGGCGGCGGGGTGATTTATTACTGACTTGTGACCAAGTCAAGGAAGCTACGGTTATTTATGGCACTGAACATTCACAAAGAAATGTTTTTCTAGTAACCATTTAGAAATTGTGGAGCAGGGAGAATGAGTGTGTATATAGGATTGCTAAGGATTAAGCATCCGCTGTACCCAGAGGACATGAATTCTGGCTGGACCGGCCTTGCCGCTTGTCCCTGCAGTGAGGAGCCAAAAATACACCACTGCAAAACATGTCACTTGTGCATTGATTATTTTGAGCTGCCAGGAGAATGAGAATCGATAGATGCAAAGGTGGGGGGGAGCTTCCCCTATCTGTCCCAAAGCAGAAACTCCAGAGAAATGAGGCCAGGAAGCTCTCCCAGGCAAGGACTGCAGCTGTGGAGAAGACAGAGTCAGTGCCAACTTGGACCTGCACCAAAACCCCTTCCTTGACAGCCTTCTTCCTCAGTCTGCTGCCCTTGGAAGCCTAAATCCTATTCTTGTTACTCCTCTCAATATTTTCCTTTCCCTTTTCCTTTTCAAGGAATTTATGTCAAACCCAAGGCCTTAAGCACACTAGGCAACTGCTCTACCACTGAGCTACACCCCTGGCCCTAAAAATGTACTTCTCTATTGTCAAGACATAGATGTGAAAGTTCTAACCGGCACTAACTCCTCCTTGCATACTCCTTGTAATTGTATAAACACAATGCACATGGTAACAGATCAGCAAAAGAGAAGTCTTGTTAGTCCAGGAGTCGGTGGGGGGCGGGAGGCTGTAAGAGGGCCTAAAATGGGTAGAGACAAGAATTTTCCCTCTTAACATTGGCCGGGGTTAACATTGGCTGGGGAAGCCAGGCATGGTGGTGTGTACATATAATGCCAGGCCTCTGGGAGGCTGAAGCAGGAGAATTCCAAGTTCAAGCCCAGCCTGGACAAGTTAGTGATTTAACAAGACCCTCTCAAAATAAAAATTTAAAAATTGGGAAGGGAGCTCAGTGTGAATGCCCCAGTGTGAGTTCAATCTTCAGCACTACAAAAAAGAAGGAAAAAAAATACCTGCTGTATATGCCAAGTTTGTTCTTCAGAGATTTAAGAATACATAATGTTAAGTAAAAAGAATAGCCTGAAAAGGAAAATTAAGAATATGAAGCTCTTGGGAACTAAACAAACACCATCGTTGCTGGGGGAATAAAAACCAACCCAGCCTAGAAAAGAAAAAGTACAAAAGGAGTCTGCTGAAAAAAAATTAGTTGATGAATCAAAGTCAATTTGAGGAATTCTGAAAATCTGAAGGTAAAGGCAAAGCAACATTAGTGGGGGAAAAAGGAAAGACTTAAAAATGTTGAGGCAGGCAGCAGCACCACTGAGCTTAAATCCCCAGCCAGAAAGGTAGAAAAATGAATTTGGAGTTCCAATATCTGTCTGTATTTTGGGTGCGGGGAGGTGAACCAGATATTGAATTTGGGACTTTGCACTTGTGAGGCAGGCATGGCTGCTACTGAGCTAAATCCCCGGCCCTGTATTTGTAAAGATAAAGCAATTAGGAAAATCAAGATGTTATAAAAAGTTTTCCTAAGCTAAGTAAAAACATGAGCCTTCAGATCAACAACGGGCCTAGAAGATAACTGAAAAGAGAAAAAAGACAAATCCCAACAGCGTTTTCTCAGTGACAACCAGGAAGAAAACAATCGTGTATTCTTTTGTTTAAAAAAAAAACAGTACGCACAAAGGAAAAAATTTCTCATCCAAAACACCAAGGACTAGAAATTTATAAAGCAATGTTTATATTTCTTGAAATGAAAGGATTTGACTGTGATCCTTGAATTTTATAACTAGCTAAATGGACCATTTAGCAAAAGGACATGTAAATAAGACAATACTTAATGTTTAATAAAATAAAGTGGTGTTCCAACCAAATGGAAAATGTATCAAATAATTCAAGAAGTGGGGAGGATAGGATGAGCTATAGAAATTTTTTGCTAATTTTGTGATTTTTGTCTTGTGATCCTAGAAGTTGAACCCAGGGCACTCCACCAGAGGGGGCGTCCTCAGATCCTTTTTGTCTCGAAATAAAAGGTCAAAAAGAGACTAAAGTCGTGGCTAAAAAGTTGTTACTTGACTATAAAAGCTTACCGATTATTAAGAAAGGAGGTTTAAAATAGAAAAGGCACAAAGTTTTGGTAATAACTTAGAACTAACTGCTCATATTACTTGAGCTAAATCATACAACGGTAAGGGAAAGAAGGAACAAATATGCCCAAAGTTTTCATCTGGAAGGAAAGTTGTGGTGACGGGGGAAATGCATGTTTGTATGTGTAGGTATATGCGTGCATATGTGTGAACCTACTTTTATGTGTAAATACATATATATTTATGAACATTTATCAGTTTGTCCTCTGTATTCAAGGATTTCACCAACCACAGGTTCAACCAACCATTTCTAAATGGAATCTAGCTATGAATTAAAATAGTGTATCATGAGCAAGCAGGGTTTTTCCTTCTGATAGTTAAAATAACAGCAACAGCAAAGCTCTTAATAAACCACGAATGGAAATCAACTGTCTTAATGTGATTTTTTTTTTTAAGTCACCAGAGCCAGGGGATGTAGCTCAGTGGTGCCATGCCTGCCTGGCAAGCACAAGATCCTGAATTTGATTCCCAGTACTGGGGAAAAAAAAATCACCTATGAAAGCCAACAATAAACACAGTGAACAAGAAAACATAAGTGCTTTCATTAAAAAGACAGGAATAGGGCTGGGGATTTGGCTCAGCAGTTCGGTGGCCTGCCTTGCAAGCACAAGGACCCAAGTTCGATACCCGGTACCATAAACAAAGGACAAGTAATAGTAAAGTTGCCACCTTTAGGCACTGTTGTGTGATAGTTTGGATGGTTCTGAACAATGGAACAAGTACAAGTGACATGGAGCCAGGCATGGTGCCTCACCCCTTTAATACTAGCACTTTTGGAGACTGAGGCAGGACTGCAAGTTTGAGCTCAGCCTGGGCAATTTAGCAACTTGGGCAAGACCCTGCCTCAAAATTTTAAAACATAAATAAAAAGGTCAGAGATGTAGTTCAGTGCAATGATCCTAGACTTAATTTCCAGTACCAATAAAAACAAAAGAAACAAAAACAAAAAAATCCCTAAAGACTTATATTTTAAACACCAGACCACATGCTAAGTGACATACAAGTCACCACTGGCAGAAAGACATTTGCACTATCAAAGCTGTTAAAGACCCATTTCTGAAAATGGGGGGATCCCACTGAGGGTCTAAAGGTGCTTGACACAGAAACGCCAACACCAGCCAATAAATTAGCAGTAAACAGACCAAAAATCTACTCATGACAAAGAAATGCAAATAACCCAATATAAAGCAGCTGAGGATTCTGAAAGATCTTCTGGCTGTGGGAAAGGAAGCTTTTTAAGGGGTAAGCACAGGAAGCTGAGTGTCAGATGGGCCAAAACCACCTCCCATTCTTTGCAGGGAAGGCAGTAGGAAGCCTGGAAAGGGCAAGCTATTTCCCAGTTCACTCATGTGCACTACCCAGCCTATCTGTCCATGGTTCTGAAAAGAAATATTCAGAACTACATAGTAACAATGGCTGTGGAGGGAGGGAGAGGGAGAAAGTGGGTATTAGATGGCAATGGAATGGGAGACTCTGCTCTTTGTATAAACTTTGCGAACTATAAAAATGCATTCTTTAAAATGAAATTACAACCTATTAATAAAAATAAGTGGGGGTTGATTTTTTTCTTATAGAAATTCCTGGAAAGCGGTGCTTGGTGTCATTTAGACTTTTCAGATACAAACTACCTAGCTCTCTTCCCCATCTGATCCTAGATTCCAGCCTTAGAATGTGATTCTTAGAATCCAGTCCTACTGAGATTCCTTGTTGGTGTTTATGGAGAATTGAACTGTAAGACTTCTCTAAAGGTATTTGGTGACATGTATCAAAATGTACATTTTTTTTTCTATGTGGTTCAGGCTGGTCTTGAACTCACTATACAATTGGCTTCAAACTCCCAGCAACCTTCCTGCCTCAGCTTCCTAAGTGCTGGGATCACAGGTGTGCACCACTGCCCTGCTCCAAATGTACAATTTTTATACCCACCCCACAATGGCTCCTCTAAAAATCTACCCTAGGCCCCTGGACACCAGGCACCCCATGAAGTTGCGGAGCCCCAGAAGCGAGCGCCTCTCTGCCTCTTTGCTCCCCCCCACCCCGCCCTGGCTACGGACCCACTCTCACCTTGTCTGTGTGGGGATGCGGTGGTTGGAGTTGGAACAGAAGATGTTGTTGGACTTGCGTGTGCTGTCCAGGAACTCGCGCGCCTCATGCTGACGGAGCTCGGCCAGCGGCCGCGCCTCGTGCTTGAGGAACCACTGGTGCGCCTCGAAGCACTTGGCGCACAGCAGCTGCTCGCACTCGAAGCACCAGAAATCGGCCAGCTCCTTACAGCGAGTGCAGGCGGCCTGCGCGTCCATGATCTGTCTGTACATCGTCAGGCGCCGCTGCAGGCTCTCAAAGAACACGTTGTCCAGGGCGGGCACAGCGTCTGCCGGCTGGGGCATCTGGCAGATGGGGCACTGCAGGCCTGGGGTCTCCAGGCAGGCCGAGCAGAGAGTGTGCAGGCAGGGCAGCAGCTTGGGGCACTTGGCTTGGGCCTGGCAGCCCTGGCAATTCAGGAACTGGAACTCCTCATCCATGGCTTCCTGCGGGACCAGAGAGGGGAGGTAAGGCCGTGCCCCTGGCACCACCCTTTGGCCGTGGGCTGGAGTAGAACCTCATATTCCATTCTACCCACCTGATGCAAAATCCCAGCCCAGCAGCACCCCACCACCACATCTGCTCAGGACTTCCGGCTCCCTCTGCACCATTAACTGAGCATCTACTTTCTTGATACCAGACACAGACCTGCACCTTGAGAGGGGAGTGTATAGGATGCACACCTGCCTTCAAGGAACTCCGTGTAGAAAGTAAATCAATAACTACGAACCTCCTGTGCAATGCTGAACATTCAAGGGGGAGCTCAAACAGTTACATGTAGAACTACCACATGACCTAGTAATTCCATTAATAGGTACAATAACCAAAGGAACTGAAAACCCCAGATACTTGTACTCTAGTGCACAAAGCAGTATTTAGGTATAATACTCCAAAGAACTGAAAACAGACCCTTTACTTTAATGCACTCTATTGCGGATTAGAGGCATTAGTTACCACAACCAAAAAGGACCAACCTATGTGTTCAGAAGCAGATGAAGAGGGTAAACAAATTTTGGACTCCACATAGAATAGAATATTCAGCCTTTGAAAGGGGTGAGATTTTGGCACACGCAACAAGACTTTAAGACTTCAAGCTTAGTGAAATAAATTACAAAGAATAGCCAGAGGATTCCATTTATATACAGAGAAAATAAAAGATAATTGGTGAACAAGAGCTATTGTCTAAAGGGGCAGCATTTCCGGGGTGATGAAGAGGTTCTGGAAATAGGTGGTGGCAAGTTTACACACAATTGTGAATGTACTTAATGCCACCAAATTGTAATCTTAGACATGGTTAACATGGTAACTTTTGGTATGTGTGTTTCACCAGCCCAAGGAAGTCCCAAAAGTGCTCACTACAATACCTGCTGATTGAAAGTGCTCATTAATGTTAATTAGCATTGATTAGTAAGACTCTCAGTGCTAATAAAGTTATTACCCACGTGGTGGGACTCGTGCCTTCACGAAGGGGAGCAAATTCCTGGCAGAACACAGAACAAGGCAGCCAAGTAGCTCCTTTCAGGATGGGATGGGGTATAACACGGTTAGACCAAGACTTCCGGGGGGCAGGGGTGCGGAGTCGCCAGGAAGGGGTTTCAAGAGGACTGGGGAAAGCCACAGGAGACGTATGGAGGCCTCCATTTCCGGTCTGGGAACTTGGGATTTTCGGTTTTGCCATGCTTTGGCTGTACTCCTTGCTCCAGGCTGTGCAGCAGGATGCCACCTTCATTCTCCCTAAACTGTGACTCTGCATCTGGGGCAGGGGCTATAGAACATAAGGCTCGGGTTGGGGAGAGTCTGCTCCGGCTGCCCAGAGGGGACTCGCAGCCCATCCTGGTCCCCTTCTGCTTTGTCCTACTCTGCTCTGCTGCTTCTCCAGCGGGGGTGGGGGGTCAGGACCCCGGTGTGTGGCCTCCTCATTTAGTGTCACTTTAAGGTGCTTGGCCACATTCTCCATGATAACATCTCTTCCCAACTCTCCCGCCGCTGCAGCAGCGGCACACCAACATCTGATCCCCTTATCTCAGACCCGTTAGTACCTCTGCTGGGCTGTGGCTGGGGCTGGGCTGGTGGCCTTCAGAGGGGGCCTCTGGGGGTGGCATGGTGGGTGACTGGGGTGGGACAGAGTCCTGTGGGAGGTCTGGCGATCTCGTCTCGGCAGGTTCCTGCTGCATGGAGCCCAGTGCAGTTTCGATTCTCTGCTTAGATCGGGAGGGAAGGAGGACGGCTGTCCAGAAGGGAGGTGCCTCCTCAGGGCCCGCCTCCGGAGAGGAAGTGAGACAGGCAAGGCGGGCCTGGAGGCCGAGAGGCTGGGTTTGCGGAGGATGTCAGATCCTGGAACAGGAGAGGCTGAGCCGCCCCTGAAGGGAAGCAGCCCTCAAACGGCTTTGAGCCCACCCCAGCCAGGACCAGACACAGATATGAATCACACTCAGCCCTGCTTTCAAAGAGACTATCTAGTGGAAGAGCTGACCCCCAAAGGAAGATTTTCATGCAGTTTTTGGGACTGGCTGCAAAGGAGACCTCTCATCTGGGACTTGGGGGAGTGGTGGGAATTCACCAGGGATTCAGAGGTGGGGCCACTTAAAATGGCCAGACCAGCATGTGTAAAAGGCATGGGACGGCCTGTCTAAGGAGGGGTTTGGGCCATTTTCAGACTGAAGAGAATACTCTGAGAAGTGCCGGGGAGTTTGGACCTGATATGGAGGTGACAGAGTGAAGAGTTTGGTTCTGGGGAACCGCAGGATCAGCTCTGCATATATTGGACAGTGATTCTGACAGCCTAGGGACAGGGGATCTAGTCCAGTAGAGTGGGTGTAGGATGCAGAGGGACCTGAGCCAGGGATTGCGAGGACAGCCACTGGAAGTGAGGGGGTGGGACAGTGGCTTGAGTGGCAGTCAGGAGGACAGGTGAAGTATGTAGGGTAGTGATGGGACCGAGCAGGCCAGCAGCTGAGAAGTCGGTGAAGACACAGCATGTTAAGACTTGGCTCCTGAAATGCAGGCTGGACTCCAACTCTAGGCAACCATACTGGGCTAGGGCCTCTGGCTTCAAACTTCAAACCATCAGCACCACTGTACTGGCCTGTGTGCCCATTCTATGTTCTGTTACAAGGAGGGACAAACTAAAGGGGGATGTTGGTAAGGCCTCACCATGTAAAATTAAGTTGCATGTTGTCAGAATGAGGCTTGAGGGAGATCCAACATCCAGGAACCTGAGAGGTCTGGAAAGCATGCCATCCCCCATCCCGAGCAGCACCCCAGGCACCCAGAATCAGTCCACCAAACCAGGAAAAGCCAAATGTGGTAGGTAGCCATCTGCAGAAGAGACCTAGAAACAGGCTATGATGGGGGTGGAGAATGGAATGAGAGAACCAAAGAGTTAAAACTGGGAAAGCTTTATTAGTTTCTTTGCTCAAGCTGAAAGCCGGCCTCAGTAACATTCCATTGGAATTAAGGCTTCTCAGGGTAGCTTTTTGCTGTTTGTGATGCTTGAGGACCTGGCCCTCAGAGTTCTGCACTGGGCTTCCCGGGGGCCGGCACACACAAGCCCGCCTCGCTCCACCTTGTCCAGTGAGCTGATGATACCATGACACAATGAATAAGTATTGACATCTGTCCCATGACAGCCTTGCTTGCTGTTCTGTGGGAACACACGGAGGATTTATTTGCTGGTTACAAGAAAATACAGACCTGGAGAAAATCCTAAGTCTCCGGTGTGTGAGTTTTAAGAGGGGGTGCTGGGTGCTGATACTGTCATTCTCCCGATCCTGGGGATTTGGCTCCTGATCAGCCTCTTGGGAAGCCTACCGTTCCCTCACCTCCTCAGGTGAGAGCGGCGAGGAGGGTCGATAACCCTTATAGGCTCCCCAGGATGCTGTCCTCATCCCACTCTCAAAATTCAGTCCTCCGGGCGCAGGGAGGAGCTATGGGCAGCGGGTGCGGCCCAGTCGACTTCCTGCTCTCGCTCCTCCGAACTGCTGCTGGTGAACCCGGAAGCAGCAGGGGCAGACAGGCTGGCCGGGGCCGGGCCTCTGTACTGCTGCAGAGTGTGGCTTCCATAGCAACCATGCTTGGCCAGGCAGGTTACAGGGCGCTGCCCCTAGGGGATTTTGACCGCTTCCAGCAGTCGAGCTTTGGCTTTCTGGGCGCGCAGAAAGGCTGGCTGTCCCCAGAGCGGGGCATCGTGGGAACCGGGGCTGGTGAGTGGCCCCCAGCACACCGGGCCGGGGGGACTGCGGTACCCTCAGGCCCAGTCTCTGCTGGCCAGAAGGACTCGATGTGCGGTGTACACAGAGCCCGTGGTGCCGCGCTCTCCTTGAATCTCTCCTCACCACATTTCTCTGTCATGGCAGAGGCTTGCAGTTCCCTTAAGCACTGAAAGAAATCCAGATCTAGGTAGAGGAAGTGACCCTAAGGGCGTCTCCCTGTTGGCTGGTGAAGATACACAGAGCAGAACCGCAGGTCTGCCGCTATCTGTTGTGCCCACCCTGGCCCTGTCTTATCCCAAAGCCTCCTGCAGTTCCTTTGGCCTACAGGCCAGATATGTCTCAGCCTGACCCTGGAGGATTGGGGCCCTCCCTGCCGCTCTTGCTGGGATGACTACCCTGTCCAAGGATTCAACCTGCTTGGAAGGTGGAGTCTTGCTTTGGGGCTTGGGATTCCTGAAGGGTGAAACAGACACTCCCGTCTGCTGCTTGTCTGGGATTGGGGGAGAAGGGGAGCAGAGAAATAAGCTCATGCCTGGTTCTGGGGCTGTCTTTGTTCCACTTCCATGCTGGCCTCTTGGATTTCTCTCTGGCCGGAATGAGACTCAACTTCTTATCTCTTGACCCCAGCTGCTTGATGACTGAATAGCAACTTTTGATGAGTCTTGGGGCATAAAATGGGGTGAGGGCCAGAAAAGAAAATTTAGCCCCGTCTTCTGGTTCCTATTTAATAGGTAATGGTGAACCTTGTAGATTCCATAAAGAGCTCTTGAAAGCACACCCTGGGCTGTTAGTGGAGGAGGGTTGTGTTATTCCAGCAGCATTCGCTTCGCTGTAGCACATGTCTACAGCTGTCCAGGTACTACTTGCTCTGTGCCTAGCATGGGCAGGCAAATAAATGAGACAAGGCATTGACCCTGCTCAGAGAATAGGGCCTATGTGAAGAGGGTCGTGCTTTAGACAGGTTGGTTTTGTTGTGAGGAGGGGTGGGAACCATCCCAATGACCACCTGCCCTAGGATGTGGGCTTAGTAGGCATCAAGTCAAACTGAAAGCTGTGAGGTGGAGGGGGGAAGGTGAGTGAAGGGTGCTCACTTTACTCACAGCTGTCCTGCCAGGCCAGGCCAGGGCCGTGACTCCTCTGCTCTCCTGCTCCCAGATGTGCCCCAGAGCTGGCCCTCCTGCCTCTGCCATGGCCTCATCAGCTTCCTGGGGTTCTTGCTGCTGCTGCTCACCTTCCCCATTTCTGGCTGGTTTGCCCTGAAGGTAAGGCTTGGCTGGCTCAGCCCCAGGATGGTTGGGCCATATTGAAGGTTCTGGAATTAATGCATAAATTCCCCATCTTCTACTCCCTGCTCCTAAATTTTTATGCCTCTGTGAAATAGGCAGGGGAAGTTGCCCCCCATGAGCTTTTCTGTTGCTGGGACAAAATACCTGACATACCCAATTTAAAGGAAAAAGGATTATTTTGACCCAGTTTCAAAGGGTTCGGTCCATGGTCAGCTGACTCCAAAGCAGAAATATCATGGCAGAAGGAAGTGGAAGAGGGAAGCTGCTCACCTCATGGCAGCCAGGAAACAGGGCAAGAGTCAGGAGGGAAGAGGGTGGGACTCGCCCATTGAGGAGGAGAGTGTCTTCATGAGCCAATCATCCCAAAGTCTCACCTTTCAGATAAGGATATTGAAGCCCGTACTTAGGCGGAGTTGTCCTAGAAGCCAGGAAGGAGTAGAAACAAGTCATCTTAAACTCCCAAATCCTGAGAACTGGACACAGATATGCTGTCCAATAATATTCCCTTTGGGTTAGGCTGAGTTAGAAATCAAAGCACCCTTCTAGGTCTGGTAGATCATGTGTAGTGGGGATTCAGGGCTTGAAAACAACAAGGATGGTGCAGACGGGAAAAGGATGACTGCTAGAGCTGTTGTTGAGCATCACCGCTGAAAGTAGGCTCCAGGCAGGCCTTACCTTTTGTGCAGCCCTGGGTACTAGTTTCTTTACAAAGCCTCTGGTTTGGTAGTCTGGGAGTCCTTGGGTGGTCCTGGATCCTAGTTCTGAAATGCCACTGAAACAAATGCTGTGTGACCTTGGACAAGTCACTTTGCCTTTCAATTTGAACATGGTTGCATCTTACAGGGCTCTGGGGATTTGAAATTGGCCGTGCCTTTACTCAGGTGCTGTTAGTGGCCCAGCCTCTTCCTCAAGGAATCCACAGGGAGACAGTTTCCGGGTAGGAGTGATGGCTCGCCTCCAACCACAGGGGTGAAGTTTGTCTGGGAGTATCATCTACATAGTGGAGTCATTCAGACTGCATTCGAATTGTGCCTGTTTCCTGCAGGGGCTGTGTCATTTCTGGGCACCTTTCTGAGCCTTGGTTTTCTCATCTAGAAACGGCTAAGGATACTGGATTGTGACCAAGGCAAAAGGGACAGAGGGGTAGAAGGGGGCCTGGGCAAACGTCATTGACCAGCCTAGGCCGACTACTTCCAGCCTCTCTTTGCCACTTGGACAGATCGTGCCCACCTATGAGCGGATGATCGTGTTCCGCCTGGGCCGCATCCGCACCCCCCAGGGGCCTGGCATGGTTCTGCTCCTGCCCTTCATCGACTCCTTTCAGAGGGTGGATCTGCGGACACGAGCCTTCAATGTCCCTCCTTGCAAGGTGAGGGGCTTCTAGCATAATCCTAGCACTCTGGGAGGCTGAGGCAGGAGAATCTCAAGTTGGAGCCCTGCCTGGTCAGTTAAGCAACTGTGTAACCACCCTGCCTCAAAATTAAAAATAAGGTTTGGGATGTTAGTTCTATGTAAAGGCCCTAGTACATCACGTGTGTGTGTGAAAGGCTTCTCGGCTGCCTCTCCTGGGTGGAGGGACTGGGGTTTGTGCAGAGGTGTGCTTCGAGTACTAAGACCTTGCTCTATGGGTAGCAGTCTGTGGAAGTATGGAGTAGAAGAGACTGGGAGGTTAAGCTGGAGGCTGGGAGGGTACGCTTACTCCAGAGCTCTGACCGCATGTCTTTGGGGACACCTTTTGACCTGTGAGGAGCTCAGTCAAGCCAGTGGGTCAGGCTAATGGTCATGGGCCTGACCACCTTGTCCCTCCTGGCCTTCCCACAGCTGGCCTCCAAGGACGGGGCTGTACTGTCTGTTGGGGCTGATGTCCAGTTCCGCATCTGGGACCCGGTGCTGTCGGTGATGACCGTGAAGGACCTGAATGCAGCCACGCGCATGACGGCCCAGAATGCCATGACCAAGGCCTTGCTCCGGAGGCCTCTGCAGGAGATCCAGATAGAGAAGCCCAGGATCAGCGAGCAGCTCCTGGTGGGCGGCTCCTTCCGAGGGAGAGCTCAGCCACCGGCCTTTGAGCAAGGACTCCGGCTATCGGTTGACCATGTGCCCCTAGAGTATAGCCAGCTGCAAAGAGCCGGGGGTCTGGGTGGGGTCGTGCATTAAGGTGGATGCATACCGCAGCCATCATGGGCCATGTGTCCCCAGAAAAGGGAAGTGTCGGGTGGAAATTCTTGGGGCCCTGCCTCTGAGTTTCACCCTTTGTTGCTCCTAGGACAGCTTGAGATCTTAGGGTGAGGGACAGGACCCCTGGACCCCCAGCCCAGCCTCTGTCTGTGAGGCTATTTGGCTCCCCTCCCTGGCTTCTCCATGTGTATGCAAAACAGCCCTGGAGTTCACCTGACTTTCTTTGCCACCGCCTGGGGTGGAAACCAGTGCACACATGGTGGCCTGTTCCCCTCAGCCGTGCTCCACTGTGCTTGTCCTCCAGGGGCAAAGTGGTTAAAGTTGTCCCCACCCACCCAATTTCCTCAAGGGAGCTGGGGCTGGGGAAAGGGAAGCCGTGCCTGCCTGCAGGTCCCTTATCCTTTCAGCAAGGACACCAGCGGGAGCTGGGTAGAATTCCTAGGGGCTGCCGTGGTGAACAGAACGATGGCATCCACGGCATTGTAGGTGTGCAGATCTTGACACGTCTGCCCTAGAGTCTCAGCCCCCCGGATTTGCTGCCTGGAGGGCCAGGGGTTACTGTCTTACTTTGTGGGGAGGAAAGCAAGGCTCAGACACGATTCCGCTTGCCTCTTGGAGCCAGGGTCAAGGGCGGAGCTGGGCCAGGTCCAGGCCACCTGCTCTCCCAGCTGCAGCCCAACTGCCCCCTGCACTGCTCAGGTCTCGTGTGGACAGCAGCAGCATTCAAAGAACCACTGTCCCCGGGATCAGCTGACCAGACAGTGCCAGGACTACACCTCTTTTCTCCTGCCTGCGTACCGACCGACCTGCTCCCTCTCTGGCTCGCACCCCTTTCCTAATTCCTGCTGGGGGCTCCCACTCCCCCCGCACCCCGCATCCGGACATCCCCAGGCTCCTGACACCGCCTTGGCCCTTGTCACGGTGACATCCATCTGGAAGTCCTCCCTGCTTTTTGCCTGGTAGCAGCATTTGGGTCTGTTTCTGCTCTAGCCTGTCAGGCACCTGCCTGTCCACAGACGCCAGAGCTGACAGTGAATGCTTGTGGTCCCTACTCCTTGTGTACCCTCTGAGTGACTGCCACACTCATCCCTAGAACCCATGCTGGAGCCCAGGAGCTGAGTGCCCCTCCTCTGTGCCCACTATGGTTGGCAGAGTTGTGCCCTACCCCTCCCCAGCTCAGCTTCACCCCAGCCCATACCCTCCACCAGATCGGCTTCCTGTTTGGTCTGTAGTTTGTGACAGTGTCAGCCTTGATCCACCTCCCCCCCGGCTCCAGTGTCCACACAGCAGCCAGCGGATTTCTATCTGAAAAGTGGGTCTGTTCTCTGTGGCCCCTCTGCAGCTCCTCACTGCCCAGGATGAGCCCATGAGTAGAAAGAGGCCACCTTGGACCCCTCAGCTGTCCCTAGTCCCCCAGCCCACACTGTAGAGTCAATGATTCAAGAGATTCCTGAACACTGTTGGTTCTCCGGCCTTGGCTTTGCACTTGCTCTTCCCATTGCCTGGAAGGTCTCGGTCTCAGTTCCCCTGCCCGTGTTGACCCCTCCTGCCTCACCTCTTATGCAGCTGGGCATTCCCAGGGTGGTGGCTTCTCCGGGGCAAGGTTTGTTGACTGTAATTCCATTCCTTCCCACAGCTGGAGATCAATGAGGTGACCAGGGCCTGGGGGCTAGAGGTGGACCGTGTGGAGCTGGCGGTAGAGGCTGTGCTACAGCCTCCCCAGGACAGCCCAGCCGGGCCCAGCCTGGACAGCACCCTGCAGCACCTGGCCCTGCACCTGCTGGGTGGAGGCATAAATGCCATGGTGGGAGGCGCACTGTCCCCAGGGCCAGGTGAGCTGAGGAAGGAGGGTGGACATGCTCACTAGGGTGTGTCCAGCATAGGCATCACCACCTGCCCCAGAACCAGGCACCTCTGCACAGTGTGTGTGCACCCAGCTGTTTAGCCCAGCCTGACTGCACGGCCGACCTGAGCTGGGGCGGTGAACCGAGTCTGGGTATGTGCAGGAGTGCAGGTTCCTTGACAGCCTCTGAGCTAGGCGGCTCCAAGAGGGTCACTGGAAAGAGGCTGGGGTCGTTTAAAGGATTTGGGGGTTTCAGCCAGTCCCTGGGGGCAGCTTCTTAGAAGAGGACATTGAACAGAAGCCTGAAGGGGCAGCAGCCAACATGATCTTTCCCTTAGCAGCCCACTGACCTTTCTACCTCGTTCCCAGCGCTGCCAGCCACCGCGGTGGACACCTTGGAGATGGTGAATGAGGTTGACCTGTCAGCTGCCCATGCTGGGCCCTGGGACGGGTCCAGCGTGAAGCAGCTGGTGGCCGAGGGGCTGCTGACCGCCTTGCAGCCCTTCCTATCTGAGGCCCTGGTTAGCCAGGTTGGCGCCTGCTACCAGTTCAACATCATCCTGCCTGGGGGTGCTCAGAGCATCTACTTCCTGGACCTCACTACAGGTGCCCCCGCCCCTGCAACCCCACCCCACATTTAGAGCGAGCCAGTGGCAGGCCAAGGGCTCAGATGCACCCCTCCACAGGCAGCGCAGCCCAGCCATTTGGGCCTCTAGTCTGTGAGCCTCCTGTGCAGCAGCCTCTGTGCCGGGTTCATGCCAAGCCTGTGCCGCCTGAGCTCCCAGCTCTGTGTGCTGTCCTTCCCTTCCCCTCACATCCCTGTAACCCTCCCCACTAAAGCCGATTTCTTTCTCCTTAGGGCGAGGCAGGGCAGGGCATGGGGTTCCTGGGCACGTCCCCGACGTGGTGGTGGAGATGGCTGAAGACGACCTGCGTGCCCTGCTGTGCCGGGAGCTGAGGCCCCTGGGTGCCTACATGAGTGGGAGGCTGCAGGTGAAAGGGGACCTGGCTGTGGCCATGAAGCTGGAGGCTGTGCTCCGGGCCCTGAAGTAGCAGCCACCAAGGGCCACCTGTAACCCAGCCTGAGCTGACCCTGGGCTGGTGGGCTTCTTGAAGGAGGCGGCTCCAGCCTGCAGCAAGGATGGTGGAGGCCCAGCCAGGAGCTCCTGGCAGAGGTGGGAGAGACCCAGTGAGGCTGCTGTGCACATCTCTTCTGTGGACAGGCCCTGTCCCTCCCCATCTCCAGCCACGTGCCCAGCCCACTAGGAAGAGCCTGATGTCACCGGGCCTGCATGAGGGACTGAAGTGTGTGGGTTCAAGTCCCGCAGAGTGCGGAGAGGGCAGGCTGGCGGGTGGGAAGGCAGCAGGAAGAGGTTGCTGTGCCCCTCTCGACTGCAGTCCAGGTCCATTCTGTGTGAGGACACAGGACGGCGGGGTGCCGTTGATGATGGTGCCCCAAGGTGATTTGTCCCCCACTTCTGTGCCTGACCTGGGGCTCAGGGAAGCATGCAGGGCCCTGATCATGCTTCTTCCAGGTTCTAGGCCTGTGACCAATAAATGTGGTGGTCAGTGTGGCCCAGAGCGTGGGGTGTTGGGTGGGCTTGGTGTCTGCACGGTGATGACCTCGCTGAGCCCAGACGTGGGCCCTGGAGACATTGCCGGTTCCTCCTGAGGGTCTCCAAGCCCCACAAAGGCATGGAGGGGGGTGCCCTCTGTTCCTTTTTCCCCTCTTTTTTTGCTATTTTTGAGCTAGCTAGGGTCTCAGTGTATTGCCCAGGCTGGCCTTGAGCTCTGTGTCCCGCCTCCTCAACCTCTTGAGTGCTGGGATTATAGACCTGCACATCCACACCTGGCTCCGTTCTTTATAGTCGGGTACAGGTTTGCCAGCAAGTAGGGATGTGTGGCGCCCCAGAGCTGGTCCCACAAACATTGACCTGATGACATTTCGGTGAGGGGCTCCAGTCACCTTCAAGAGGAGTTGGGGCCATGGCAGCTGCCCCATCGCACACTCTGCTGCCCGAGGGGAGGGACGCAGGCACGGAGTCCGGGTCCTGGGCCCAGCAAGGACCTTTGCGTACCGCAGGGCTGAGCAGCAAGTCTTTCCTGGAGGGTTGGCAGGAAGAAATATGACACACATGGCGGCCCAGCTTCCTTGTGGAGGAGCAGCCCCCAGCTGCCCTGTGACTTGGGCCTGTCCCTTGGCCCAGGCCACTTCTAGTTCACTGGTTGTCCTTGCCAGTGCCGGACTCTACCTGTCACTCCTGTAGGTCCTAGCTCAGCTTGGGCCACCTCCCTTAGGCCCTGTTGCTGTGCCCTGGTACTTGGGGTTCACCTTGGGGTCCTGGCCACTCTGCTTCTCCAGGGACCTCTTCCAGGCCTCTCCTCCAGTCCCAACCCGCCACATGGCCACTTTGAGGCCCAGCAGGGCTGTCCTTGGCTGAGCACCCCTCTTCCTGCAGTCACCGTGCCTGGTCCCACTACCTGCCCCATTCCTGCTGGGCTGCAAGCCCAATGCCTTGGTCACCATAGCTGCCCTCCAAGGCTGCTATCCATGGAACCCAAGGCATCTCTGAGAGCCTGTGCTGTCCCTCCCCTGTCACCCTGGGGTGGGAAACAAACTCCCAGACCTTCAGATGTGAGAAGATCAGAGCTTTTAAGAGAAAGTGAAACTCCTGTGAATCTGTGTGGGTGGAGATAGAGGCCTGTATCTGCTATTAACACCCCACCATGCAGGGAGGGAGGATGGAGCAGCCCTTGCGGGCCACTGAGGAGCGAGGATGGCAGAGGGGGAGGCTGCCATCTGTCAGAGACCGCTTCCTGGAGGAAGTGAGGCCGGGCATGGACCTCATCACAGTGTGGGAAGAGCACAGGACTGAGGGGAAGCCCCAGCCAGGGCCCAGGTGGAAGAGGAGGGCTGGCACCCCTGAGGTGGGCCCCTGGAACCCCAAGTGTGAGAGGGTTGTGTGTAGGGACTTTGTGGGAAGGGGACAGAAGTAGCCCTCATTGTATGCCAAATAGGCCTCTGTACTGAGACCCTTCTGTACTTTTTCCTCAAAATAATCTAGTAGTTAATTATGCTGCTTAATATGCTAATAGGCAATGCATTATTTTGAGATAAGTATACTTTGAATAGGTAATATATGCACACATGGTTCTAAAGTTTAAAAGGATTAAAAAGGCATACTATGAAAATTGTCCCTTATACACATGACTCCAGCACGTGACCCAGGCCTTTGTCCAAAAAGCTTTCCTTGCCATTAGTTTTTCTTCCAGAAGGTTTTTGTTGCTTTAAAAGTTACAAAAGAAAATCCAAATGCAAAGATTAAAATAGGCAGTGTGTTTAAATAAAATGTATTATAATACCATATTACCATGACTCCCCCTCAAAACCCTTCCCCTCCTTTCAAACCCATTTATCCCACGCATTCCTTACCACTTTCTGAGGCAGGTCTGGAGCTTTGTGAGTGTCTCTGAGGTGTGATGGAGGATTCGGTGAATGCTGCTGCCACCTGCCATCGAGCAGAAAGGTGGGCTCCTAAGAATGTCAGTGTGTCCTCTTCCACCTCACTCAGCAGACCTACCCTTCTGGCTCTTCCCAAAGTCAAAATGATGGCAAAAGGGCAATGTTTGGAATGGAGCCAGGACACCAAGGCAGCCACAATAGCTCAACTAAAGACTGAAGAAAAGGACTCCGGAGCCGCTGTAGAAAGTGGTCAGAAAATAGATTAAACACTTAAGGGTATTTGAAGGAGGATTGTAGGGGAAAGGGGTGTTAACTGCAACGTGTCTTTTACTAAAAGAAATTCTTTTGTAACTTTCACAGATACTTTATCCAGCTCGTAGCCATCCTCTGGCTACAATGTTGCTTTTACCCACTTAAGGGCGCTCCTGAGGATTGTGCCTTATGGTCCACTCTCCCCATGATATTTTGAGTTACAAGGGATTCCACTGTATGGAAGTACCATCACTTATGTTTCCTGGGTGGGTGGTTTCTTTCTGGTGTCTTGCTTACAGCCACAGTGAGTAACGTTTATCAACTTTTACTGTGCTGTTTTGCCAGTGGCCAACAGAATCCTAGAACTGGAACTGCTGGGTCAAAGCACTTGTAAATTCATAAGTGTGTAACTTAATTAACATGCTCTCTTTGGAGATCATACCCATCATTGGTGATTGAGAAGATGTTTCTTTCCTCCTCATAATCATGTCAGTGCAGTGTGCTATTAAAATTTCCAGGCTTTTGTTTTGAGGCTCTGGTAAGTGGAAAAATGATTCTCAGTGTAGTTTGTTTTGTTGTGTGTTTATTCAATCGTTTATTTGGTTTTTCTTGGTACCAGGGATTGAACTCAGGACCTTGCAGTCCGAATGAGAAATCCCCCGGCCCTTGTTCATTTGTTTTTTCCATTGCTAGGGATTGAGTCCAGGGTCTTGATGCTGAGCTACGTCCCCAGTCCTTTTTAAACAAACAAAACAAAATAAAATATAAAAAATTTTGAGATAGGGTCTCACTAGTCAGGCTTCAATCCTGCCTCAGCCTCCCGATATACTGGGATTAGAAGTATGCAGCTGCAGGGGACAGGACAGAGAAGGGAGCAGGGGACAGGCAGGAGAAAAGAGAAGCCAGGGTGGCGGCGGAAGCATGATCCGGGAGGGGAAGGGTGGCCAGGAGCCTCGGGTCCAGACTACCCCACCTTGGCCTTGGGGCTGAGGATAGGGGAATTGGCCACGAGAGGTGCCCCGGACTGCTCTCTGGCTCTGGGCCCTACCGGAACCAAGACCGCGACCCTTCCCTTCCGGGGAGGCAAAGTCGGCGGGTCAGCCAGGACCTGCTAACCAGAGCTCGCGGCGCCACCTTGTGGTGGAACCAGGGCTGTCTCCTTCCAGATGTAGCTTTCCAGGACCAGGAAAAGGTCCTAGGCGGTGAGCTGCGGTGCTGTTACTTGCATTCTCACATCTTTCCAAACACCAAAATGCCCAGCATTCCTACACTAAATAGTACACGGTATCCTAACCGTACGATGTGACTCGTAAGGTTTCCTTAGGAATCGCCCTGCAGGAGTGATGCATTTGTGGTGTCGTCATCACAGCTCTCCTTGGGTACTTGGATGCATTTTTTAAAAAATACTCTTTTCTACTGGAGGTTGAACCCAGGTCTTTGGCACTGAGTTCTATCCCCAGCTCTTTTTTGTATTTTTGATATTTTGAGACAGTGTCCCTAAATCTCTAACTTGCCTGGGCTCAAATTTAGAATCCTCCTGCCTCAGCCTCCCCAGGGTGTGTGCCATGACTTCGTTTCATTTGCATCCTCACGTGCCCAGAGAATTAAAAATCCTCTGATTTACAAATTCTTTTCAATTTTAATGAATAGTCATAAACACCACACTTAATAAAGAAACCGGCAGTGAATTCTGTGGTGACATACAGTAACAATGACACTTTGTAGGCGTTTGATGGAGTGTTCGCTAATTTGGATTATCCTGTAGTTTTTGTACTTTGGAGCAGAGACGATCTTAAGTCTATACACTTATTTAGGTCCCGAAGACGCTCAGGTGCTCTGGGCTGCCCCTCAGGGACCTCCTTACCCCAAAGACAAGTGACCTCAGTTGAGCAACACTCCTCCCAGATACTCAGCAGGCTGACGCAAGAGGATTAAAAGTTCTCAAGAGTGACTCAGTGAGATCCTGTCTCAAAATAAAAAATGTAAAATGGGAGGAAAAAAGGAAGCTCTTTAACAGCCTCCATGGGATGTGCAGGACAGAGACCCAGAAACACGAGATCCCCTTGGTGGTGGCCGGCGCATGCAAGCAGTATCACTGCGAGAGGAGGACGGGCACCTCAGGCCCCTGACCCTCAGGCCGACCCCGGACGCCTCACCCACATTCTCAGCCTACTGCCGCAGCGCAGCAGGGTCACAGCCCAGGGGTCGCCACCAGAGGGCGAGCGAGAGCCCCAAGAGGCGCAGGGCCGCAATCGCCAGAACTGCAGCCTTGGGCTTTCTGTGAGAAGCTCACTTTATTTTTGAATTGTGTTTATGATTCTCAGTAGTGGAAATCGAACTCGGGGACATTCTACCATGGAGCTGCATTCCCAGTGCTTTTTACTGTTTTGTGACAGCTAATTTACCTCAGGCTAGCTGAGAAACTGGCAATCCTCCTGCCTCAGCCGTCTGAGCAGTTGGGATTACAGGTGCGTGCCACTGTTTCTGGTTGAAACTCATTTTAAATATAAAGATCTGTCTAGGTGGAGTCTTAAAGTATGGGAGCAAACAAAAAATTCACAAGAAGAAAACAAAGAAGAACCACAACCACATAAAAGGTGTGAAGGGTTTAATTCAAGGTGCTATAGCAGCTCCCAGTAGGTGTGATCCAGAGAACAGAGCCTCAGCACACAGACAACTGAGACTAGAACAGGAGGAAGAGCTGAGCATGGCGGCACACACCTGTAATAAATCCTCGCACTCAGGAGGCCGAGGCAGGAGGATCACCCCGAGTTCAAGGCCAGCCTGGGCTGTATTACCTCAAAACGCAAACTAAAGGAAGAAATAAAAATCCACAGGGCAAGCAGACAGAGAAACCAGTCTGTTTATGGGTAACTTGAATATAACACCATTAACCAACTTAATCCAGTCAACTTTTTCCCTTCATTTTGTTTTTCCTGGAACTGGATATTGAACTCAGGACCTTGAGCTTGCCAGGCAGGCACCATGCCACTAAGTTGTAACTCCCAGGCCCTCAGTAAACATTTTATAGGTGGCTCCACCCAATTGCAGCCTTTCCAGTGCTTGTGGAACTTGGCCAAGATAGACCATATTCAGGGCCATGAATCAAATCTTAACAAATTAAAAATAATTGGAATCATACAAAGTATGTCCTAACATCCTAATGAAATTAAACTATAAATCAATAACAAAAACATCTGGAGAATCCCCAACTGTTTGCAAATCAGTATACTTTTTAAACCGATGGTTCAGAGGAGAAAGCAGAATAATTAGAAATATTTGAATGGAAATAAAAATATAATCTAGGGGATACAATTTAAAGCAATATTTAGAAGAAAATCATCGTGACTTTGTTTAGGTAAGATTTCTTAGATGGGGCTGGCATGGTAGTGCACACCCATAATCCTACCACCTAGGAGGCTGAGGTAGGAAGGACCACCATAGGAGTTTGAGGACAGCCTGAGCTTCATAGTTCAAGACCAGTCTGAACTATATAATATGACCCCAGGGCTGGGGATTTAGCTCAGTGGCACTGAGCTTGCCTCAAAAGTGCAAGGCCCCTGAGTCCGATCCCTGGTATCAAAAAGCCAAAAAAAAAAAAAAAAAAAAAAAAACCAAAAAAAAACCCTGTATCAAAACAAAAAAACTTAGGCTAGAAGGCACAACCTACAAAAGAAAATAAAAACTGACAAATTGACTCTCACCAAAATCAGAAGCCTCTGCTCTTCAAAAAGTACCAAGAAGAAAATGAAAAGATTAAACCACAGACTGAGGAAAAGATTTGGAAAATGCATAACTGATGACAGACTTCTCCAGAAGAGAGAAAAGAACTCTTCCCACTTGATAATAAGACAGCTGGTGACGAATGGGCAGAAGGATTTGAATAGCCACTTTATTTAAGTGGGAGACTATGGCTGGTAATCCCATAGCAGAGGGTCAACGTTATTAGTCCTTGTGGAAATGAAAATTAAAGCTATCGTAAATACCTAGGAGAGGAGATGGCTCATAGCCAAGCCTGTGGAACAACAGCTATCTTAGAAAACATTGGCAGTTTCTCACACACTTAAACCTACATTCATCATTTGACTCAGTGACCTCACACCTAGCTGTATATCCAAGAAAAATGAAAACCTGTCTGGCCACCATACAGAAACCTCAATGTGAATGTGTACAGCAGTTGTTTTTTTTTTTTTTTTTTATTTGTTTTTTTGCATAATTGCCCTGAACTGGAAAGAATACTGATAAGCAGAAAAACAAATTGTGGCATGTTTATGTAAGGAATATTACTTAGCAATAAAAGGAACACCTATACGGGAACTGAATATATAACAATGTAAATGCATCTCAAAAGCATTCAGACAGGAATCTATTTTTTTAGATATATTGCCCAGAATAGTGACTATAATAACTACACTTCAAAACTGCCAAGAGAACAAATTTCAAATGTTCCTACCACAAAAATAATGCTTAAAAGTTTAAGTTGATTTAATTATTCCATATCATATTAATAACAAATATGCCTTATAAATATGTACAGCTATGACTTTTCAATGTACAATTTAAAAAATTTTTGTGGTATTGGGTATTGTGTCCAAGGACTCTGTCAAGCGCTTTTCATTTTTAAAAAATATGGTCCAGTATGGGCCAGGGATTTAGCTCAGTGGTGCCACCACCTGCCTTGCAAGTGCAAGGTACTGAGTTTGACTCCTGGTACCCCCCCCCAAAAAAAAAGTCCAGGCTGGCCTCAAAAGTACGATTCTCCTGCCTCAGCCTCCTGAGCAGCTGGGGCAGCTGGGATTATACAGACCTGCTAAAAAATAAAAACTTAATAAAGCCATTCTATTAAGTGAAAGAAACCAGATACAGAAGGCTCCCTATTTATATGAGATGCAGGAAAAGGCCAGGAGGTGGACAGGAAATAGCTGAGCAGTTGCCAACGGGAGTGGGTAGGAAACGGATCACAATGAAGCTGGAAGGACTTGTAAGGATGGTGGTAGGATTTTTCTGCATCTTGAATCTTGATGGTGGGGTGTTGATATACAGATTTGCATTGACTTGTCAAAACTTGTCACCCATAACTTAAAAAGGGTGAATTTTGCTGTATGCAAGATTTCCTGAACATACCTGAGTTAATAGTGAAAAAGGAAAAAAGACGATGAGTCAGAATGAGAGAGGCTTTGGTGTCTCCTGAAAGAATCCTGGGCATTCAGTCTTGCTCCTCCTGGTGGCCTTGGGAGCAATGGCAACCTGTGCTCCTGGGAGCAGCTCCCAAACTGTGAAGGTCCTAGCAGAGGCCAACGCCTCCTTCCCCATGCTGGCGTGAGGTGGAGCCCCTTGCTTGTCAGGTACTGTAGGCTCTGTCCCCAGATTTTTTAAGATGGGGTCTTGCTAAGTTGCCCAGGCTGGTCCCTCCTGCCTCAGCCTCCTACAGGCACATGCCGTATGGACTAGATTTTCTTAATCAGATGTTATTCATGCCTGCAGGGAGATAACAGAGAAAGCACAGAATTTTAAAAAACAACCAGAGTACTTAAGAACTTCTCCAAAAGGAAGAGAAATGTCAGATGGCCGAGCTCACAGGATATTCCAGAAAACCACAGTAGCAGCCAGCTGTGATCCATGCCAGGACCTTTTGCACAGAATTTTTGTAAGCTCTGCATGTGGCTTCATCTCTCTCTGCTTCCAGAGAGGGCCCTCGGGACCAAAGAGCACCTCATCACGGCTCCCAGCTCTACCCCGGCAGGAAGCTGAGGTCCCGGAGAACGTGCTGAATGACTGCGCACTGGGCACACGACTACTCACCGGCTTGAGGAACTCGGGGCCTTTGAAATGAGCTACTGCCCCAGCCATCCCTTTTGTGTTTTGAAACTGGAGGGTCTTGCTAGATTACCAGCTAAATTACCTAGGCTGGGCTTGAATTTGTGATCTTCCTGCTTCAGCCTCCAAGAATGCTGGGATGATGGGCATGCACTACTGCACCTGGTTTGAAAAGCTTTTTGAAGCAAAGCTGCCTGACAAACAGGGTGCCTGAGTCCCAGATTCACGCCTGCCCCTCCGCTTTCCGTGGACTGAGTTTGTTAAAGTTCCCTCCGGGATACGTGTTGTGAGCTCCCTTGGGTCCTGGACCCTGGCTGCTGTCCTGATCCTCATGCTAAGGCCCCCGGGAGCTTCCTGGGATGTGGGCAGTGCCTTCTGGGGCACTGGCCAGGTGGTGCCAACCCCAGCCAGGCCTGTCCACGGGCACCACCTGCCTGACTCAGACTGGGTTGTGGGGAGGCGAGCGGCCACGTTCTAACCCACACTGTGTGCCCAGGGCTGCCCTGGAGGGGCTTCCAGAGAGGCCAGGCCTGCAGGGATCAGGACTAAGAGGGGGTCGGTGACATTGTGGGGCCTTGGTCTTGCTTTCCAGGGAGGAGGTACCTGACAGAGGCTATGGGTTTGGCTCCACCCAAGCCCTGGGGCAGGCCCTGCTAGCCTCCCTCTGGAAGCACGGGTGGAGCCCCAGCCAGTGTCAGCTGACCCACAGGGCGGGTGTCAGAGGGAGTCATGCCTGGGGCCTGGCGCGGGCACAGGGGAGCAGGCGGAAACCCCTAACATGAGGGAGATGCAGGGATCTACTTTGGAGGCCTTGTTTGCGTGGAATTATGGGCATCTCTGACAGGCCCTCATCCCGATCGTGCAGGTAGGAAAGGACCTTAGCCCTTCAGCAGCAAAGATTGGACACAGGGTCACACCTTCACTAGCAGTGTCTCCCCTAGGCCTCTCCAGGCGGATTTCCATGGCTGGAGAGAGACGGGGCATTTAGCCTGGGCTGTAGGGCCAGGGAAGCTGCTGCCTTGGGTGTAGGGGTGCAGCCTGCAGCTATAGGCATCTTTGTGTGGGGTTGTGGTGGGAGGTGGTGACTGTCCTAGGTTCTTGGCATCCCGAACAAAGAATTGAGCGGTATAGTCATAAGTGACAGCATTGACTGATCAGCTGGGATCTGCTCCTCAGTCTGTCTGGGTTTGGGGAGAGGGAGCAGCTCTGATGACGAGGCCCAGACAGGCTGTTCACAAAGGACAAAGGACGAACGAGGGCAGCTTGCATGCATCTGAGAGGTGGCCAGGGCTGGGCTAGCTGTCACCTCAGTTCTGGTTGCAAGGTGACTCTGGAAGTCCTTATTCCTAGAGGGGACAATCCAGTCTCCATGAGAAGCCCAGAATCTGAGGTGGCCAGAGGAGGATGATGGTGGTGGCAGATGTCCCTTGGGGCTCACTAATCTTGCTCTGCCACCCTTACCCACCCTTAGCCAGATGCTCCCTGAACAGTTAACCTCCTGACGTGCACAGCCAGAGTTTTCAGGTCACCAGGGGGCCTGATAGAGCGTGAAGGCTGAGCCCTGTTCTGCTTTTGGTCGCCCATAGGGCACTGGTGGCCCAAGCGAAGAGCCACTGTGCTTTAGCAAAAACAGCTTTTAAATCCCTCACTGCCTTGGAAGAAAACACAAATCATGTTTTTCATGAGTAACAGGTTAAGTGCCCAGGGCTTTGTCTGTCCTCCGTCTCTGTGCTGCCAACCGGCAACCGGAGGGCAGTTAGGGTCACAGCCGTGTCCCTGCTGCTGCTGCTGCTGCTGCTGCTGGCATTGCTTCTGCTCTGTCTGCCCTTCCCCACCTCCGGCTAGGTCCATGATGACTGTTACCACTTAAGGATCTTTGGTCCAAGGCAGACAAACGGGTTTCCAATGGGCAGTGGAGCATTGGGTGGGAAGGACCCTGGGGAGGTGACTCTGGGGCCACTGCCGGTGCCCTCTGTCCACCCACACTCAGGGGCCTCCGACTCCAGTGGTTGTCCATGGCCACAGTGAGATGAGGACTGGGTTGAGGCCACACGGTGCACCCTATCTGAAGCGGGAGAGGAGAGCTAAAGAAGTCATTGAGGAATTGGAGTCTAAGCTGGCCCTTGACGGGGGAGGACCGGAAAGGGAGCCGGTGCCCGGAGTCCTGCGTCCTGGCCTGGCTGGGGGCAGGGTGATCCACCCATCACCGGGGAATAAGGGAGGGACCAGTCCAGAGCAGGCTGCTCCCCAGTGCAGTGACGAACCTGCGGGAGAACCTCCGGGGCCAAGGAGAGGTCAGAAGAGGCCTGTCCCCTTCCCCAGCTCCACGCCTCCTGACTGAGCCTGCCCTCCCTCCCTCCTGGGCGTAGACCCTGCCATCTTGTACAAAGACCTGAGCTCCTGGGTCAGGCGGGCAGCCACCCTCACCTCAGGAGGGCCTTTGCAGTAAAGCGTGGGGCAGCTTGCAGGGAGGATGAGGCCCTGGGCCCTGGCATCGTGGGTGTCTCTTCTCCACCTGGGGGGAGGTCACTTTCCTCTTCAGCCTCCACTGACCCCATCTTGGGGCATCCTGCCAGCATGTACAGACTGGCCCATGTGTCCCCACCGTTAAGGGCAGGCTTGGGGACATCCATCGTGCCCCGGGACCTGACCTGGCCAAGGTTTGTGTGTGCGTGGGAATCCTGGGTCTGGGGCCTCTGGGTCTGTGTCTCCTTCCTCCCCACCGCCTACTTAGTGCTTCTCCACCCTCCCCTTTCACTCTGTCCTTTGAGCATCTGCTCCTGGTTCAGGTCTTTTCCCTAGATAACTGAACCCCCGGATGATGGCTGTGGCTGTGGGGGTTCAGAGACCTGTTTTCAACATTGTCTTCCTGGACCATTGGCATTGGACCTGGGACGGGCCCGAGACCAAGGCCCCCATCTGGGACCTTGGTTTCCTGACCTACGATTTGGGAATGTTCTTCTCCCTTCTGAGGGCGTCGGAGTCACATGACCTTTTCTCGCCTTCCCCCCTGCTCTTTCCTGGGTGTCCCTAGAAAGGTGAGGTAGAGCACCCATGGACTTGTGGCAGTGGTAGGAAAGTGACCCCCAGAGACTGCAGGTCATGGCTGAACTGCTGCTTGGTCTGCAGCACCCCTTGTTGGAGAAAGTCAGGCTGCAACGCCTACTCGTGCCAAATATCGGCAGATTCAGTGAGGAGAGGCAGGAGGGGCTGCAGCCATGCCCACCCCACTCACCTTCCTGGGCTGGGGCATCCCAGGGCTCCCAGAGTCCTCTGCTGCCAGAGAAAATAAGCAAGAGTAGCACTGGGAGAGATGGGCAGGGCTGGGCAGTTCTGTTTCTCACTAACTGGTGTGACTGCTGTGGGATGGGAGAGACCTGGTAGAGGTGGTGGGGCGGGTGGAGGGGAAGGAAGAGGGTGGCTCCGTGTCCAGGACCTCTGGGATGTCACAGCAGGGCAAGAGGAGGGTGGGGACCCCATAGATCTCCCTCCATCTCACTCCCTTCCGTCCTGGCCTGTGGTACTCTGTGCCAAGTCTGTCCCCCCAGCCGAGGATATACTTCTCCACTTCCTGTCCGCCTGTCCCCGTGTGGCTATTCTGTGCGCCCAGTTCTGTGCCTGGCATTTAGGATCTGGCAAGTGTAGGGGAGTATAGGGCAGATGGCTGGTTGGGAATGGTAGGCTGGAAAGGGTGGAGGGGACAAAAGGGGTAGGAGTCAGAGCATGGGGCTAGGGTGTGGTCCGCTTCCCAGGAAATCACCTTGGCCTCGAGCTAAGCCCCATAAGGGCCTTGATGCCTTAGAAACTGCCGTGCATCTGCCAGGTTGGCTGCCAACCTTCCCACATCTTGCTGGGAAAGGTGGAAGCCCAAGGACGTCCCCAGAGCCCAGCCCAACTGTGACAGCCCTGTCAAAAGGCCACATGCAGAGCCCCAGAGTAGAAAAACTTGGCTTTATTCAGCCCAGAGCTTGGGCAATATTGCTCTGTGGGATGGCTAAAATATAAAAAATAAAAACCAACAACCACCCAAATGATGTTGGAGAGAAAAGTTAGGTACAGGATGGGGCCTGGTGTCTGGAATCCCTGTCGTTTTGGCCCACGTTCGCTCCCTGAGGCCAGCAGGGATGTCACCCCTGGTGTCCAGGCACCCCGGCTTGTGGGTTTCAGGTCCGGCTCCTGGACAAGAGGCTGCCTGGGGAGCAGAGCCTCCTGGGAAGGAGAGAGATTGTCTGGCTGTTCTCTTGGAGATCAGGATCTAAAGAAAGGAAAATGCAGATCAAAGGTGTCTGGAATTGGAGTCTCAATGGTCTCTCAGGGCAGACACAGGCCTCCATCTCCCTCAGGAGTTTGGGCCAACCCCTTGGCCAGCTTCAGAAGGAGTGGCTTCATGGACCCTGACCCACTGGGGTACCGCTTCCACCCGCCTCCTCCCCTATGCCCCAAATCCTGGGTTTGTTTTCTAGATCATTAGTGGAGCTGCTACTGTCTGGAAATACTTTCCTGCTTGTGTTTTCTAACTCATTTTTTTTCCTTTCTTAAGCCTCTTTTTTCCTCTTCAGAAACATGGTGGAAACCCACAGGCGTCAGTCCCGTGGCCTTTCTGGGAATGCTCCGTCCAGCTTCCTGTGCATGCTGGCCCAGCGGCCTGCCTGCGGTGAGGGTCATGGGGCTGTTCTAATAGGACTGGGCCTCTCCAAGCACTTAAAAAGCTCTCGGAAGGAAGGGCTTGGCCTCCTCTGCAGCCCTGAGGCTCCTGGGAGTGGGGCAGGGAGGTGGCTGCCTCTCCGACTGCCCTCCCTGAGGCCCCCACAGTGACCAGAGTGCCCCCAGGACAGGAGCATGTCTCTAAACCCCTCGGCAGTAGCACATGGGGGTAGAGACGGATGAGGGCAGCTGGCCTCCTTCGTCCCAGCAGCCTCTTTGTGTCCTGGGTGCTCCTTCCCCCTCTTCCCCCTCCTCCCCTCCCTCTTCTCCTCCCCTCCCCTCCTTTCTTCTTCCTCTTCCTTCTTCCTGTAAAGAACGGGAGAGCCCTGGTGAAGCAGCTAGGATAAATACGCCCCTCTGGAGACTTCTGGATCCGGCATCCTTCTCCAACCATCACGTACTTTCATCTCCCGTGGACTCCTACAGTTTATGAGGACCAAGAGAGACATGCAGGGAAGGTTGAATGGCTGATTGAGAGAGGTTTTGGTGAGCAGGAAGGTGCTGAGACCCAGGATTCAGAGATTCCAGGGCTGGGCAGGTGTCACTTCAAATGCCCTTTGTGTCCCTGTAACTGTGACCTGACTGCTTGTAAGGACACTGATGTTCACTGAACTGGCTTCTGCTGCTCCCGTAAAGGCCAAGAGTGAAAAAGCTGTTTCTAAGTGAATCCTGCTCCTGGTCCCACACTGAACCCTGTCCTGAGCGCCACTGTGCACACTGGGCTCTTGCTACCAGACCCAAGTGTGGCTATGTCTGGTCGTAGGGGTGACCTCAGGTGCGCTGCCTCGGGTGTTTCAGGGGGTTGGAGCAGGAAGGGCAGGGGCTGTGCACGTACTGGACAATTTTGCAGTTTGTGGTGGAAACGTAGCGACCTGTGTAGTGGATGTTGCATCTCACCACGTTGTTGGTGAAGTCGGACTCCAAGACAATGTACTTCGGGTTCACGTGAACCTGAGAGAAAGGACAGGAGTGACAAGGAGGCTATACTTCCTCTGGTCACCAAGGAAGGGGTGGAGAGACACACGTGACAGATGAACGGAGACACGGAGGTAAAGACGGGCAGGGAGCAAGGAGGCAGCCAGTAAAAATGTCATCCGGTCCCCTTTATCGAAAACCAGAAGCTTCTGCAGACCTGGAGCCCTTGTCAGGTGACCTGGCATAGGGCCTGATGCCAGGTGGCATCTGTTGCCCTGGAGCCCAAGCACATGACAGTCCCTGCGATGATGGCCCAGGCACAACTTGGACTCTGTCTAGAAAGGAGCTACTGGGACACGCCACTGAGAGGCTGGGTTCATGAGAATGGGGACCAGCATTGTCTGCACAGCACTTAGGAACAGAGGCTGCTGTGCCTAGCGCCACAGGCCTATAATCTTGGCACTCTGGGAAGCGGAATCAGGAGGATCAAAAGTTTGAGTCTAGCATGGGTAACTTAGCAGGAATGTCTCAAAAAAAAAAAAAAAAAAAAAAGGCTGGGGTTGTAGTTTCAGTGCAAAAACCTGGGCTCCATATGCAGTGCAGAAGCAACAATGGAAGAGGCAGTGATGTTCCTTTTAAATTGTTGTATGTTTCTTATGGGCAGGAGTTGCACATTCTTACATGGTCTGCATTCCTGGGGCCTAGAACGCGGAGCAGGCTTCACTGCTTGTGTCTGATTGGTGGCTGAATGATGGAGAGCAGAAAATACACCTGGTATCCCAAGCCCAGGGAGGTGGGGCACAGAGCCTGAGAGAGGGGCTCAGGGCAGGACCACAGAGAACTTCTTTGGCTCCTGAAAGCGGCCTTCCCACCATCCTGCAGGGACAGCTGCCTGCCCTTTCTCCCTGTCCTGAGCTGCAGGGTCATCCCCACCCTCACTTTGACCCCACAGAAGGGCACAGCAGTGTGTCCTGCATGTTAACAAGGTTTTCTACCTGCCCCTCACAGGCGCAGAGGTGATGGAGTGAGTCACACTACACTACCAGGCAAGAGGGGTCCATGCTGAGGGATTCTGGGGCACAGGGGCCCCGGGCTTTGTAGGGGTCCCCACAGTGGGTGGAGGCCTTTCTGCCCTCTCCCCTGGGGTGGCACAGAGCCTGCTGTGCCCACAAGGATGATGGCATCATAGCTCCAGGGAAAGGACCCTTGGGGTCTTCCGTCAGATTTGTGCCATCAGATGGGAAGCTGGGGAAGTGGGGACACTCCCGTGTCCCGTAAGTGGGGGACCCCAGTGTGCCCACCATGGGCCCCACCTTGAGAATGTAGTTCCCAGGCTGCACGTCGGTTATGTCAATCCACTGGCAGTCGATGTCTGCATTGTAGGTGTCGTAGCAACCGGGACTCAGGCCCTGGAACAAGGAACAAGAGGGGAAGGCTGGGGTGCTCCTGGTTCCTGGAGGCCCCCCCATCCCACCCTTGAGGTAAGCTGGGGCCAATTTTCTTCCACACTTCACCCCAGAGCCTGGCCAGTATGGCGCTGCCCTTGCCCAAGGCTGCTAGACGGATAGGAGAGAAGACAGATAAAACAGGTGGAGGGAGGGGTGGCTGGAGGCAGCGATGGGTAGGGAGACAGGCACAGTGGGGGGACAATCTGGTTGTGCAGATGGACTGATGGAAGAGGGACAGGGTGACAACCAGGTAGGGGACTTCATGGTACCCAGACAACACCCCTGGGAAAGGGGCATGGAGGGGGCTGGGCAGGGGATACTGTCCCTCAGGGGCCCTTGATAGCCTCACAACAGGAGAAGACCGACCCTGTGACCAGAGGTAATTGTCACTGAGCTGTGACTGGCAGCTGCCTCTCCCATCCGGCCAGGCCAACCCTGAACCCCTCACCCCGTACCCCGTGCTCAGACCCAACCTGTGTGTGAGAGGTACATGCATAGCGCTTGAGGTTCCCGAAGTCACATGTGCTATCCTCCAGGCAGAAGCTGGCCTTGTGGCCCTCGGCTACTTTCTTGCCTGTGGCTGCGTCCAGGAGGTCATAGTGGCTGAACTCGTCCATGCTGTGGTAATGTCTGGGGGGAGAGACAGAGGAGGACCAGGTGTCCCTGGGCCCCTACCTTGTCCCCCATCCTGTCCCCCTGTGAGATAGGCCCAGGTGACCTTCCAGGACAGAGCCTCAGACCAGGCTGGTGTCCTAGCCAGGTCACTCTGGGGAGACCTCTGCAGGATGCCCCACGTTTTGGTGGGGGGGTCCCAGCTGTCCTGAATTCTAGAAGTCTCCGTCCCTCACTGTAGGGTCTGTCATCCCATGACCCCTTGGTGACACACCCTTGCAGCCAGCACTTCCTGAAGCCCCAACCAGCACCACCTCTCCCAGGGTGTGGATGGGGGAGGGGCACAGGAAGGGGCCCCCTAGCAGGGGCTCACTGGTGGCAGCTGTGCCACTCCCAGGTGTGCCGAGGCCGGTTGGGGAGGAAATCCGCTGTGCCCTGGTTCTTCACGCGCTGGGGGAAGCGCAGCAGCACCCGCAGGTCATAGTCAGTAGCCTCGGGAGCGTAGGCTGTGCTGTGGGGGACACATGAGAGAGCAGAGTGAGACTAGGAGACTAGGGTACAGGGACACCGCCCTTGGCCACAGGTTCCCCCAGCCCCCTCCTGCCCTTAAGACTCTGGAGTTGGCTGAAGCCCGTTTGCCCGGCAGGCATCCCTCTTTCCAGTGCCTCCTTGGGGCCCATGTTGTTGATTTGACCCAGGAGTGCAAAGTTTACCCAGCGCCCCCAAGTCTGCCCTGCTTGCTCTGCTTTGGAGCAGTGCTGCCTGCCTGCCTGCAAGCTCTCCCAGCATGGACTGCAGCCCACTCAGATGCTGCACGTTCCCTGTGGTGGCTCAGGCGTGACCAGTCTGATAGAGCAGACTTAGGGCCAGCATCCTGCCCTGTCTCTTTGGGGAGTGCAGGTCTGCTGCAGACTGCCTGTTTGTTTTTTTGCTGCCCCAGAGCCCAACTGAGGCCGGCCTTGTGGCGGGAGAGAACGAAGAGGCAGCAGGGAGACGACACACATGCATGTGCGCACACAGAGGCGGCAGGAACAGGATGTCTGGCTGCAGCTCCCCCTTCTGCTGACTGCTGACAGCTGTCCTGGCGGCCCCCAGGGCTCTTCCCTGGCTCCCACTGAGGTCTGGGTTGCAAGGCCAGAGGCCAGCAGCGGCCAGCCTAGGGATCAGCTCTCTGAGAGTCTGTCTGGAGCTGGCCACTGCAACTCCAGTCTGCCAGGACTTACGGTCCAGAGCCTCGTCTAAGGGAGGTGGCTTGGAATCCGTCTGGGTTGAAACAAAACATCCTACTTCCCTCTGTTCGGGTAAGCCCTGCCCTTCTGTGCGGCTCAGCACACTGTGGGAAACCAACAGGGTCTGGGTCTGAGGCCCAGCTTGGCCACAAGTCACGGCGAGGGTTGGGGCACATCCTGCCTCCACCCAGGGTTCTGCCCAGGCTATGGCCCCCTCTGGCCTGGGGCTCTTATGGGATGGTAGGCTCTGTCCTTCCACTGTGGTGTGGGCGAGGGCCCCTTGCTCCACGAGAACAGGAGGTCCCGGAGAGAGCAGGTCCATCTCTTCCTCTGCCAGCAGCTCGAGCCTGGGTGCCCATGAAGACAGTGACAGTCTGGCTTTGACTAAAACCCTTTAGAGTCAGGCTGCCGCTGAGGCTGTGTGCGCCTCAGTGTTGGAGAAAGGACGGAAGGAAGAGTATGCTGTCTTCCCAAGGCTGACAGCAAAGAGGACACAAGACCCAAAGGGGGCAGGTCAGTCAGTGGCACTAACATGGGGTCCTGGGCTAGGGTGAGTTTGTGCAGTGCTTGTGGCCAATCTGGGATGCGATTAAGGAACTTGCACCAGGATGTAAATTCATTATACCATGAATCATTGATTCAATCATCCGACCAACATAACATCCATCCATCCAGGCGAGACTTCCTTGATGAAGGAAGCAGTGAGATGAATCACGTTTTGGTGCCAGCTCTTTATCGGGTCACAGGTGACACTTTATGGTTAGCTACTCTGAGTGGCTTTGGACTCTGAACATTCCTCATTTCTATAACTTGAGTCCAAGTAGTTCCCTAGGTAGTAAGTAACAATCTAGAGAGAGATGCAATGTTTTAAAAAAAATAAACACAGGCACCCCACAAAGGCATCAGACTGGTGTCATCTTTGCCCAGTTCTGTTGGCACCGGAAGATGTCCCCGAGCACACAATTCCAAAGCAAGTTCTATAGGGACTCGGAACCCCTGGGCTCCTGTGAACTGGTCTCCTCGCCCTCTCTGCAGCTTAACCCATAACTGAGGCCTCTGTCACACATGTCTACTGCCCCTGTTGTGACCAGGCGGGGACAGCCTGGGCTGGCAAAAATCAGAAGTGTCGTCCTGCAGGCCTGTCCACTCTATGGGACCTTCTGGGGTCCTCGGCATGGAAACTGGTTTCCCATGAGGGACTTCCTCTCCTCCTTGGGCAGCTCATATCTAACTTAGTTCTCTCAGCATGCCTCAGTTTCCTGATAGGGAAGGGAACACTTTCCTATGGGCTGGCGTGAAGGTTGAAGGGCACAGCAAAAGTCAAATTCTTGCGTAGCAGTGCGCACAGATGTGGTTGTTGCCCATTCCATCCCCTCACCCTCCTGGCTGCTTGAGGCCAGCGAGGCTCCTAATGATGCAGGCAGAGCCTTGAGAGGCTCAGCTATCCGGCCAGGGTCCTGCCACTTGCAGGCAGCTTGGCTGGCAGAGCACTGGTCAGCGTGGCTCTGGGGAACTGTCACAGTGCTCTGGCTCCATCCTCGGCCCCTTACCTGGCAAGGCACTTCTCCTCCGCAGCACAGCGCAGGGAGTACAGGTGGGCTCTCTGCACATACGTGGACGCCTGCACGTAGTTGGGGTCTGGGATCAAGTCGGGGAGACCTGGAGAGGGCAGTGGGAGAAGCGGGGAAAGCCTGGCATTGAGAGGCTCAGGGTATCACTGCTGATACCCAGGCATCCCTAACCGATGCCCCTTGGCGGTTAGGCAGCAGAAGGTACTAGGGGTGCAGCCCCGGGCTTCTGGCCCTGCGTGGTCCACAGAGGCAGTGCCAGGTGGATGCCAGCAGGCAGGAGAGGTGGGTGGGCTGGGAGAAAAACATTTACTCAGAGGAGGTTGCCCTCCAGGCACCACCCTGAGCTGCTGACAGTGCTTCCTCCTGGCGCAGCTGCTGGACCCCATCTCCTCACCTGCCACTGCTTCCAGCCGTCATTCCCAGATCTGCCCACCCACTTGTGTCTGCAATGTCAGGCGTCCAGCCTGAGCGAGGACTGGGCTCCCTGCAGGGCCCAGGGCAGGAGGGGGACTGTTCCAGCCCTGTGACCTCTGGTCCCCCAGCCCAAGCCAGAGCCAGGGAGCCATCCTTCCTACCTCAGTCCCCTCCACCCCAGCCATGCTGCATGAGGCCCCCACAGGATTATTAGGAATAAGCTGAAACTTAAACTTAGGTGCCCAGACCCCATCCCACAATGAAATGAAGCAAAAACAATCTCAATATTGGCAATGAGGGGCCTGGATGGGTGGGAGGCAGGTTGGGCACCGCAGAGTGCTGAGCTCCAACCCAGATCAACCACCAGCTTGAAGGGGAATGGGCTTTGGGACCTTAGTGTCCCCTCTTCTCCCAGGCCTCATGGCTTCTATTAGGTAAATGGTGAAACATGGCTGGAAACTCCTCCCAGCTCCTTTCTAGCTCTCCCTCTGCTCTAGTGGGGTAGGTAAGGGGAGAGCCACGCAAAGTGGCGGCATGAGTCAGGAGGCGGTGCTTTTAGGCTCCAACCTCAAGGCAAAGGACTGGGGGTCTGGAGTCTGAGCCTTTGTCAGGGCTCCCTCCCTGGGGCCTGGCCACCCGGGGGAGCCTGGTCCGGGCAGCCAGGGGTGACCTCACATACTTGGAATGGAGTGGAAGATGGAGTGCAGGGTGGGTGAGGATGAGGTGGCTTCTGGCTAGTGGGGGACATCTTGGCCAGCCTCGGCCCTATTACTCTTGCCCCCTGGAATGTTTGCAGTCATTTCCCAAGGGACCCTTGGGCCTCAAACCAGCTGGGAGCTGGTTCTTACCCTCCTGTTCCTGGAAACCTCAGAGCAGGGAGAGCAGCAGTCCATCCCCTTCCCCCCATCCAGAGCTCCCACACCACAGGCAGGGGTGGGGCAGCTGGGCCAAGGCCTCACAGAACCCAACCTTCCGCCCCAGACAGTCTGCCACCCCCACCCCAGGCCCGGTTTTAATAAAGTCTGCACAGATGGCCCAGGGAGCGCTGCTGACCTGACCCCTCCTCTGCAGGCCATGTTATGAGCTGGCCACGCAATGTGGGAAGCTGAAAGAGCCAGTGCGAGAGGCTCCAGCATTCCGGGCCAGGAACTCTACTCTGGGTCACTGATGGAGCCCTGATCGCAGTTCCACACGGAGACCTGATCCGGCATCATAGAATGGGACCCAAGACCTACCAGCAACTCCGAATCTTGGTCTTACTATTCCTAGCCTTGGTCTGCAGGTGATGAGCTGCATACATGACTGTGTTCTATACCTGTCCCCCAGGACGCAGGGCACGGGATGCCTTTGGAAGTGTGCAGGAAACAGACTGAGAGAGGGCAGTGAACAGTCACAAGTGGGTGGAGCAGATGCAGGAGGAAATCCCAGGGCCTAACTCCCTCCAAAGACTCTCCTGTCCTCCTTTTTTCTAAGAATGCAGTTTTTTCAATGTTAAAACCTATATACAGTCAAATGCACACAGTCCAGTCACACGACTTGATTTCTGACAGCTGAATGCAGTTGCATAACAACCACCTCAGTGAAGCCAGGGTCTGTTTCTGCCATCTGTTGGACACCTTCCCAGGGAGATGCCCTGCCATTCCCACCCCGCCCCACCCCCAGCAACCCCTGTTCTCCTTGTGGGTCGCTGTGGATTAGTCTCCTTTAGTTCTTAAATTAAGTCACTTATTTTCTTTGTTCCACACTGACCACCGCCCAGAGCCTCCTGGGATTCTCCTGAACAACCCCTGCTCTCTGCCCCGCCCGACTGTTCATGCCCCCTTTGCCCTGGGAGTTCAGGCCAGTCCCCCTCAGGCTCCTTTGCCAGGGTCCCAGGGAACAGCAGGCCCCTCCCTGGGCTTGGTATGTTGTTCCAGGGAGGAACAAGGCCGCCGCCTCGCTGCCCTGCCCCGGGACATTCCGTCAGCAAGGTAGGCCTGGGGCCCAGGCTCTTTGCAGGGCTGGGGTGTTGGGGGTAATGTTGGAAGGAGGATGAGGGAGGCTGCTGTGGGACTGGGTACAGTGTGGGGGTCCCGCCAGCTGTCCTGGCTTGTGCGGCACGGCCACGCCCTAAGGCAGGGTGGCCAACATAGAGTCCAGTTGCAACCAGGCAGTAACCATGCGGGAAGTGTGCACTGGGAACAAAGCTGCTGAACAGAGTTGGGTGATTTGGGGGGAGGGCTTGGGCTGCCTTATTCCAAGCATCCCAGGCCTGGGACTGGAGACTAAAACAGTGGGTTCTGGTGAGAGTTTTTCCCTGAGATTCCTGTTTGTATAAATGCAGAGAACTGAATTAACCTCATTCTCAGTTCAGGAAAACAGTCTCTGCAAGGCCCCTTTTGTCTTGTTTTTAGCCTTCCTTCACCCTCCAACTTCCACCCTCAAGCATGTCCCCACATGTGTGTGTCTCTTTGGAATCTGCAGTGCGTTTGAGATGCGTGTGTGTTTTTTAAGTCAATAAAAGATAGCCTTAGGCAGCTTGTGCTATTTCTTGATTTTTTCCGTCAACGTAAACCTCTGACACCTTCCAAGGAAATTCACAGCCATCATTGCTACCCAGGGGTCACAGTGTGCCTTCTTGGCTTCCCCTCCAGCTGGTCTCTTTGGAAGGACTCCCTGATCTGTGCTCCACACACAGGCCACAGTGCTCAGCCTAATGAGGACATAGACCCTGCTCCTTCCTGATTTCCAGACACCTCCAGCCTTGCTCAGCTTTCTCCCAAGGCCAGCTCTGCTGTTGTGTGTGTGTGGGGGCGGTGGTCAGACAGCCCTAAGGCTGGGTGCCTAGGTTGGCCCAGGATTCTCAGGTTGGTCCTGGATACCATCAGCAGCTGCCAGCTGCATCCTCAAGACAGAGTCCCAACACTCACTCTGCTGCTGAGTTTCTGGGTGTCCCTGGGTGACCTAAGATCTCCCCAGACCTCAGTGTCGATCCGCTTCTGGCTGTCCCTACCCTACTGTACTCCACTCATGGCCCCCTGAGAGCGCCGAAAGGAACGTGCTGCCCAAGGGGATAGAGGTTTCCCAACATCTTGGCCAGCATGGTGGGGACAGAGTCCGAAAGGAGCAGAGATTGAAGGGATGGCCAAAACCAAGGCTGCTCGACTGTGAGAGGCTGGTGTGAGACACTCAGGCCCCAGGGTCATTGGGCAGGCAGCCCAGCCCTGTAATGGGGCAGTCTTGCAGCCATGCAGAGACAGCACAGTGAGGTCTCAGAGTCAGGGGACAGGCCAGGGGCTCTGCATTCTGGATCCACCCCCAGGCTTCTCTGTGGGCATCCAGGGCCCAGTGGACTCAGTGGGAGGACCCACCATGTTGTCTCATGACAAGCCCACCCTGTCCTGCCCTGGCTGGGTCTGGCACTGCTGGGTGGCTTCGCGGCTTTGTGGCTTTGTGCCTGGCCCTGGGAACCTGAGAACAATGACTGTCAACATCTTCCCCAGGTCAGACCCCAGAGGGGAGCTTATTGCCTTGCCCGTTCTCCACACAGAGCAAGTGCCTTCCCTTTTCTGAGACTGTTTCCCTCCCCAAATGATTGAGGAGATTGGACTAAACAATCCTTGAACACAGGCTGGATAGATCCACAAACACTTGGAGGTTAAAATACTTTTTCAGCACTGGTTAGTCCATTTCCCAGCCTTGGCTAAGAGCTCTTGACCTCCGACCTCTGCAGCCCACACTTGAGCAGTCAGGAAATTCTCCCACCTTCTGCCCTAAGTCCTTCCTGCTTCATTAGGAATCTGTCCCCTCTGGCTCAGTGGGAGGGTCCAAGGACCGTGTTCCTGTCACTTGCTTGCTCTCAGCTGGCCTCCCCTGATCTGTGGGTTCAATCTACCTATCTAAAATCTGGCTTCCCCAGGGCGATTCCCCACTGAGAAGTGGAGTGGGAGTGAGCCCTAATCTCTTGAGCCAGGGCTGGAGGATAAACAAAGTCCAGCAGGAACCCATCAGCCTGTTGTGAAATATGTGCTGAGCACGATGTTTTGGCTTGCACTGGGCCAGACTCCAGAGGAGCCCCTAGGTGGGGGAAGCACAAAGCTGGATGGATGGAGGGTGGCCTTTGAATAAAGATGAGCCAGCCAGACAGGGCCTCCAGGGCAGAGCTGGCTGCTCTCAGACCTGGGAAATGATCAGCTAATAATCAGAACATTAAGGGCCAGGAATTTAGCTCCGTGGTTCCACCCGCCTGCCTCACAAGTGTAAGGTCTGGAGTTTGATCCCCAGTACCCCCAAAAAGAACATTAAATTGTTAGCGCTGGCCCGGAGGAGCCTCACCTGCTTGGGAAGCAGAGGGACACTGCGCTTTTGGGAAGTGGCAATCCCAGCCCTAGTAAGTGGGCAACGATGGCTAGAAAACTGGATAGAACCCTCAATGGTTCCCATGTGCCTACAGAGTCAAGTCTGGGCCTTTCAGGGTGGCAGCTGAGGCCTAACCTGGCATTTCAGGATTCTTAACCCTAAGGATTAGCAGGCAACTACAAGGCTCACACATATTTCCACATCTCGGATATCCCTTCTGCAGCCTGCCCCTGGCCCTGATCTTCTCACCTACCTCTATTTTATCCATGCCACCCTTCTCTTTTTACCCACTTATTATGTGTTTACATGTGAAAGTACAAAAATTGCAGAGGCTAGGATTTCATCTTTCTTGCTTGGCACATGAGTAGGGCACCAGGAAACACTTGCTGAATGGCCTTATTCCTGGGATAATGTATACCTTCCTTGGCTGATGAGTGTCCCTGAGGGCAGGCAGGGGTGCTGCTGTCCTTTACCCACGCTCAACTGCCAAGTGGGGTCTCCCAGGTACACTGGGCCACTCAGCCTGGGTGCCTGAGAGGGCAGGGTGGCTGTGGGGTGTCCAGCTGGGGGTCTGGCACCATGCCCCCCCCCCAGGAAAGCCTTCACGGAAGCCCTGGTATCACCTGGCTCTGTGAGCCACAGCTCATCAAGTCCTTTGGAAACAAAGGTTCTCTTCAGGCTCGGGAAGCACCCTGTTCCAGTTGGTCCACAGCAGGAGGCAGGGTGGCTATGTCCCAAGGTTTTGATGGCAAAGGCCTCCAAGGTCTTGCCTTCCAAATCCTGTGCCTTCCCACTGCCTTTCTGACCCTCTCCATCAGCAGCTGACTGTGAAATGCCTGGTTCCTGGGGTGTCCTGCAGCAAGGAGAGGAACGGAGAGCAGTGCTCACCCTGAAATCCAGGCTGCACACCAAGGGCCTCTGAGTCCAGCTTTCTATGACGAGGCCATTGGGTCACAGCCGGAGGAGGGGGACAGCTGCTCCGCAGGAATGCTGGGCACAGGGATTGGAAGCAGGTGTGGGCTGCCTGGGCCACCTCCCCCTCCCCCTACTCCCTCCATTCTCGTCCTTTCCTGCTCAGGGCAGCCATGGCCCTGGGGAGTTTTCCGTGTGTTCTGTACTTGGAAAGGAAGTGGGGTGGATGTCATCCGGGAGCTTCAGGGGAAGGGAGACCGGAGGATACTGTGACTGGGACCCCAGGGTTAGGAGAGAGGCTAAGGGGGCCACCGACTCCCTGGCCAAGTCCGGCTGCAGCTTGGCACCAGCCTGGCCCTAAGGAATTCTCACTCTGCTCTGCCACTGTGTCCAGTAACCTGGATTTGGGGGTCAGCAAACTTGGGACAAAAGTCCAAGAATTGGAATTTTTCTGGAGCTTTAGACAGAGCAATATGGATGCTGAGACAGGTGGCCCAGAATGTAAAACACTCTTTTGTGAGTGCTAGAACAGAGCGAGGGCAGCTCTGCCTCTGGGGTGGATGGTGTCCCTGGAGTGTACAACGCTCCTCAGTCCCCAGTGGCCCACCACAGTACAGGGACCTTGAGTGGGTTCCTTAGCTTCTCTGCGCCCCAGTGTCCTTATCTGCACAGGGCTCTGATGACACTTGCGGGGCTGCTGGGAAGATGAAAGGAGAACAAGAGAAAATGCCTGACATAGCCTTAGTCCACCCTGGCAGCTGCAGTAGTCTCTTCCTGCCGGGGTGGTCCAGGTCGAGTCCAAGGAGGAAGGAGGAGCCTTGGAGTGACTATGACAGGGGACAGGAAGTCGGCCTGGGGTGAGGATGTTGGGGACACCGGGCCCTCTCTTCTTCTGCCAAATCACCTGGCCTTCTCAGATACCTCAACCTGAGGACCCCGTTTTTTTCTGCAAGAGCAAGTTTAGGGGAGGAAGGAGAGGTGCTGGCACCAGGACAAGTGTCAGTCTTTCTGGCCTCGGTTTCCTCAGCAGGAATGATAGATCCCTCACCTGGGACCAGGGCTGTTGCAAGGATGATGCATGTATGTGTTAAATGCACGCTTTGGGGCCTAGAGGGACAATGACCACCAACATCTTCCACACCTACTGTCCCATCTCCCTGTCGCAATCAGTGCCTGAAAGATGTGAGCCAACTATCTGGTAAGAGTCCATGACCAGGAGGAGCAATGAAACACAGAAAACATTTTAAAATAACTAAGAACCAGGGATGGAGCCGGGTGTGGTTGTGCAGCCCTGCAATCTCAGCATCAGGGAGGCCGAGGCAGAAGGGTCCTGCAGGTTTGAGCCCAGCCACAATTTAAGACTGTCTCAAACAAAACATAAAGGCTGGGAATAAGCAAAGAAAGGCCTGGGACTCAATCCCCACTATCTACAAAGAAGAATGCAGGGCGTGGAGCCAGGCAGGCTCCAAATCCTGGTTTCAGGACCTCATTTTTCCACAGAAGAGGACACAGCAGAGCCTGGCCTGGGCCTGGGCCTTTGGAATTCAAGGAGACGATATATAAAGTGCTAAGTCAGTGGAATGTGACTCCGCTCGGGTGCAGAGGGGCGCTGAGGCCCAGACAGGCAGAGCTGGTTTGGGCCCTACCACCCCTAGGCCTGGAATCTCCTGTCCCCAGAAGATCATGAGTGAGGTGAGGGTGAACGATGCACACATGTGGAATCCTCAAGGCTCAGCTGAAGGTCACCGCTGTCACTGCTGTCCCTGCCTTAGGGCTTTGACTGTGTGCTGCTGGGTGGAGCCTGCTTCCATCCCTCCCTGCAGCTACTCCAAGCCAGGTCAGGTGACCAGAGGCAGACGGGACCTAGGGGCCAGGGCTGCTCACCAGGACTGAGTCCTGGTCTGGCCTCTTGGAAGCTGAGGCTGGATGGAGAGGGGTGAACCCTAGAAACATCCTCAGATATAGGGAAGGAAATCTGATGTCCAGGCCAGGAGCAGCACCCATGGGAAAAGGGGGGTGGAGGCCTGGTGAAAAGAGAAGGAAGGAGGTGCCTCAGCTTTGGAATATTAGGCTGAGGGCTGGAGATCTGGTCCTTAAGGCCCTGGGGAGCCACAGAATGTTCTTGAGCAGGACAGTCGGGTGGTAAGCACTGTAAGGTTTATCTGTCTACATGTAGGATGGTGTGGAAAGGGGGGGGCTGAGACCAGGGGAGCAAGGAGGAGGCAGCTGTGTGAGGCAGGAGCTGTGGCAAGGATGGCAGGAGAGGAGGGCTGGCAGTGGGAGAGAGGACATCACAGGGCCCTCTGCCAGGATATGCTTCCGAGTGGGCACTGGATGGGACCCTTTCTGGGCCTGTGAGGAGGCAGAACGGGGCTGGTGGCAGAGGCTGAACCAGCTCAGGACAGGCCCTTGGGAGCCTGCAGTGCAGAGGGCAGCAGACGGTATTGCTTGTGTCCGGGCTGTAAGGACATGTCACGCCCACACCCGAATGCTGCCTGCTACCTGCCAGGCCGGCCTCAGACCCCTGGGTGTGCGGCCAGCAGCAATGAAGTCAGTCTCCGAGAATCCACCCTGTACTCCCGCACCAGGCCTGGGGGTCTGATCTCAAGTATAAGGCGGGGACGTCTCTAGGCTGGGATTTTCCAAAGTCCCAGCCCAGCGGGGTGGGGGGGAGGGAGGAGGCAGTGGTGGGGAAAATTAGGGCTCCCTCTCTGGCCTCTGGGTGAGCCCAAAACTAACCAGGACCCCTACTTTCCCACCCTACACCCTATTCTCACCATGATTCAGAGGAGCTGATGACTGTCCCTTGGGGCATGTGGGGACACCGCCTCCCTCTGAGAGTCTCCCAGAGCCCAGCCCCTCCTTGAGGCTCCCTGACCCCAGTGCTTGCTCAGTGCCAGGACTGAGCTCTCCCCTCAGCTTCTTCTCCCAGGGCTGGCCTGGACTTGGGGCACACCAGCCTGCTCAGCTTGAACCTGGGCCCCTGCCTTGGGAGAGAAATGCCTCTGACCAGAAATGAACTGGGGCCTGGGGCCATGGGCAGAGGCTCTGCTGAGCTTACAGCACCCTCACTCCAGACAGCCTTGTCCTGCTCTGTCCTATGGCCCTAGACAACCCCTGGCTGCAATCCCACAGGCCAAGGCTTGGGCCTGCCAGCATTGTGGCATCTGAGGCCTCAGTCTTCTCTGTCCAGGGGTGGGGCCCCCCTTGGCTGAGCTCACCCTGAGGTCTTGCATTCTAAGAAAAAATACCACAAAAAGCCAGACATCCTTTCCTCCACAGTGTCCACTATGGGATGCTCTGAGTTGCTGGGGGTGATCAGAGGGAATACATTCCTTATGACATCACAGAAGAGTCCCCGTCTGACTTGTCCCATGCCCCTGCCTTCTCAAAGTGGGACTCGGCACCCCCCTCTGGCTATATTGGCTGGAGACAGTATCCCTATGAGGACAGAGGCTGGCCTGTGGCACCAGCTCCCTGGGCTCACCAAAGGCTCAGCTCTCACCTGGTGAGCCTGGCTCAGCAACTGAGGTGGGGAGCAGAGAATCCCAGGCGGGGCCACTGACAGCAGCTGGCAGAGGCGGGAAGGGGGGTGGGCTGCAGAGAGCTGATGCCTGCAGGAAGAGAAGCAGCCAGGGGACACTAGGACAGCAGAGGTGGTCAGTGACTGTCCAGCCCTGGCCAGACCCATCTGTCGGCCCTTGTCAAGGTAGCCTGGCCTCCGTGTGCAGATGGCTGGGCCTTTGCCCAAAAAGGCCACACATTCACCTGTCCATGGTGGTCTCCTGGGACTCTTCCCCAGGGCCAGGACTAGGGTGAGGCAAGCGATATCAGGAGGCATGATAAGGGGTCACCAAAAAGCAAACAAAATTCGGCAACAAAGTAATATTTAATGGCATTTTGGGTGTGCTGGGGATGGAACCCAGGGCCTGGCACATGCTAAGCGAGTACTGTATCACTGAGCTGTATCCCTGGCCCTTAATAGTTTTAAAAGTAAAAGTTAATGCAAAAAAAAAAAAATTGAGATGAACAATATCCAAATTTCAAATAAAGACAGGATCCATGTTGATTTTTCAGCTTGCCTTAGGCAGGCTATGCAACCCTTACTGATGCTATTTAAAACCTGAGTGTTTGTTCCTTGAAGATATTTCAATGTATTTTTTAAATGTCTAAATATTATCTCAATTACTGAGTTTTTTGGCGCTCCCTTAAATTGAACACTCAGGCTAGGGCCTCCCTGGGATCTTCAGTCTCAGCCTGGCATGCCCGCCTCAGGGGGCTCCTGGTTCAGAGTTTTGCCTGGGACAAGGCTCCCCACTGCCCTCCTTCCTCTGATCCCTGCCCTAAGGACTGTTCAGACCCTGCAGATCTGGGGTTCTGATGCTTCTGGCCTCACCACATGAGCTGGCAAAGTGGAAAAGAGTGTCTTGCTTGGAGAGAGGGGCAGGAAGAGAGGGCTCCTTCTTTGTCCCTAGACGACCAACGCCAGGTCTGGAAGGTGCCGCCTCCTACAGTCTAGCTCATCTTTCCAGCCCCTGCCCCACCAAAGTCAGGGTCGGATCCCAGGCCTGCCACCTCCTGGCACCGCTTAGCACAATGGGGCTGTTGGGTGGGGCTGGGGATCAATGTTGGGCAGCCCAGGGGGAACCCTTGGGAAGGGGAAGAGGGGTCTGTACCCTGGTCCGGCTCACTGCTGACTTAGGGGTGCTTACTCACCGTGCCCGTTCTGGCTGGGTCGGAACACGCTGCCCACACTGAGGCGGCCCTGCTGTGCACCATTGCGCTCGGCACCGGGCTGGGATCCGTCCGAGCTGCGCACTGGCAGGTAAGGGGGCTCGAGCACGCGGAAGGGGGGCTGTGGCTCCACGGCTCGCGGCAGGGCGTAGGGCTCGGGCGGCACATTGGCATAAGGCTGGAACCAGCCGAGCTGCGGGCCCTGCGCGGTGTCGGTCGCAGGGTCCGGCAAGGTCTGCTCTATGCCCGCTGCGCCCTCGCTGTACAGGCTGTGCGCATAGCGACGGTCCAGGCCGTCGGGGGGCTGGAGCTGGGGCTGCGGTTGAGGCTGTGGCTGTGGTGCGTAAGGAAGCTCAGGGGCAGGGTAGAAGCCCTGGGCCGGGTACTCCGGCTGCTCCTCGCCATACTCCTCGTAGCGCCTGCGGGGTGGGAAAGGGTACAGCATCCCCGCCGAGGCCACAGCTGCGGCCGCCGCCGCCGAGCCTGAGCTCCCGCTCCGATAGTATACGAAGCCCTGGTCGTAGGTGCGCGCCGCGGGGTCGTAGTTCTCATACTGGGCGACAAAGGGCGCCTGTGGGTAGGGGGGAATCTGCTGTGGGTAGGAGGGCGCTTGGCGGTAGGCGGTGGCGAAGGCCGAGGCCGAAACCGAGGAGGCGGGGCCCCCGGGCCGTTGCTGAGAGACGGAGGTCCGGGCGCGGGCCATGCCAGTGCTGTCTCCGACGGCCACCTCGCGC